CCCTCCATGTCCTGCTGCTCACACTGCTGGGGATGCAGCTCAGGATTCTGGGATGGAAGGATGCTTGAGCTGAGATTGGAAGCCAGGGAAAGAAAAGATGCTTTCTGCTGGCTTTACTCTGTCACACTGTAGTGGATCCCCACTGTTAGATTAATAACCACTTGGTCAAATCTCATTCCAACCTCAGTGGGAAAAGCAAAAGGTACTTCTACCAGTCACCTACAGTCAGCAGGCAAGAACCTGAAGCTATCCTGACAATAAAAATACTGGAAGTGATTGCACTATTTATTTTCCCAACCTACGGCTTCTTCAGTCAGTCTGCACCTCTGATCTGGACCAGCCCTACATAGTCTCCATACTTCTCCAGCCAGTAAAACTGGAAAACAGAAAACTTTTTGGGCTATGCAACTGAGAAATGACAGGAAAAACCACATTGTTCTGTACAAACCGAGTATCTTAAGCAGAAATTCCTATGCTGACAGTTTGTCAGGCCTGAAGCCCTGTAAGAATGCTTCATGATCCCCTACACCAGGCTCTTCTTTCTCCAAAGGAAGGAGACATGAACACAAGGCAAGTGATATGAGCTGCAGGGAGATGGAAGGTAATGAAAGAAAGTAAGGGGAGAACTGAGTTATCCTTCTGTAACTTCCCTGAAGGGTTCACTGCTAATGAAAATCCCATAAGAGGGCCATTTATCATATGAGTAAACATACTTGTGGCAGAATTCCTGGCATATCTCACCCAGTCTCAGGGCCTGTTATCCAGGCACTAAATCAAGATCACAGTTACTTGCCTGGTAGGCTGTGTGGTCTGCAAACCAAAGAGTGTGTGAGGACAAGGCCATGCAGACCTGAGCAAGGGCAAGAGCCAAAGCAACGGTGAGCTAGGCACAGATCACAGAGATCACAATAGAACAACTTGGACTCAGCAAAAGCTTTTGCAAACTCCCCTGGTCACAAGGAGTGCTAGCAGGAAAGTTACTACTTTAAACAACAGAATATTAAGCCCAAAATACAGTGCAGAGATGTTCTTTCAGATTACTCCAGCCTCAAGCTGCTAGTTCCCGACTTCCCTTGGATCTAATTTGATCACATTGATTATCTTCGTCGTCCCTACTAAATCAAATCCTACTTTGGAGGAAAACTCATTATACCCTGAACAGACAGAATGCTCCCAAGACAAATCTCCTCCCAGCTGCCAGGTAGAACTGAGCTTTCATTACAGGACAGGCCAACTGGGGCACGGAACTGCCCCCCATTCCTTCTCAGCACCACCCAGTGAAGTTGAATAGTAACTCAACGGGGAAGTAGGCCTCCTGCTCAGACCACAGCTGGATCCAGCTTGCTCACTGCCAAGATTAAACTCCTGCACAAGGTGAGTTTCTCCTTGAGTGAAGGATCTACACAGAGCCCAGTCTCAAATTTCCTCCCAGTTCAGAAGGTGAGTGTGATGGGAAGGACAAAAAACACCAGGAAAGAATAAAAACCAAGGGGAATGATTCTGCTCTGTGAATACCTCCCTTCCGAGCTCAGCTGAGCATTCTGGAGCTGCAGTTTGTTAAGAGAGGGTGGAGAAGCCAAGGTAAGCAAAGAGTTTATAACACTACGAAGTCTTCCTCATTCTTAGTTCCTGCTGACCTACAAGGAACAGGTAAATACACTGGGGGAAAGCTCCTCAGGGCAGTAAATCATTGATGGGAGACATTTGCTGATGGACTTATCATGGACCAAGTAACGTAATTTACATCTGAAATTCAGATTTATTTCTCCAGGAGAGAGTTCAAGGACTGTTAACCTAATGGACAACACTTCTGGTGCTAAAAGAGAAGAACATTAACCCTGGCTTCTCTGACAAGAACACGGTCCTGGCCTCACTGATTTCATGTAAATGGAGTAAATCCAACCGCAAGAGAGGACCAGGTCTTTTTACAGTTACAGTTTCTAACTTCTGAAGCAGTGTGACAGTGTAAATCCAAACAGCGAATATCCACTTTTTCCTCTGATCTCTCCCCTGGTATCATTTGTAAGCATATTCATTATCTGGCCCTTCTCCAGAAAGCTGTTAGCCCAGGATCTACATGTGGGACTGCGGTAATTCACCCTTCCTGCCTTCTAATACCCCAGCACAGCTCAGCCTGTGGGTGCTAAAGAGCTTGGTGCTTGAGGCAAACTGCTTTTGAAAACAGTTTCTTACACCTAGAATCATAGAATAGCTAGGGTTGGAAAGGACCTTAAGATCATCTAGTTCCAACCTCCCTGCCATGGGCAACTGGCCTCAATGTCCAGCGTAACAAGAGGCCCTTGACTTCCCTGTTGACCACAACCCAGTTATCAGCTAGTACCAACCCTGGCACCATTGACAAAGGCCAACCTGTCAGACCTACGTACAACGGCTCTCCAGTAGAATTTAGTTAAGAGCCGGGCACCTGGAAACCACCAGCCTTTTTAATGCTACGTTCTTCACTTTATCTATGTTTGGTTTGGCAAATTTGCTTCCAGAAAAGCTTATTAGCAGCTTTTCTGCCACTAAGATTACCACAGGTGTACACTTGGTGTGCTTTTGGAACTCCAAAATACAGAGCTCTTCGCTCTGTTGCTCAGAAGTGTAGGAGTGATGGGCTGCAGCAGATTTCTCACAGAGAACAGTGCATATTTTGTGCTATTTTGGGCTTTGATTTGTCAGAACTTACACTGGCTAACAGATGGGTGAGGGGGAGATTGGGAATCAATGCCTATTGCTTTTGGTAGATAAAAGTGGATTCTCCAGGTCTTTCTTTTTCAGGGTCTGATACTGCCGGTCAGTGAATGGTAACAAGCAAAAGCAAGTCTCCTCTTCCTCAGTTCAAGCTTCTTCCAGTTCTTCTAATGACCAGACTGGATACCTGACTGACTTTAACAAAAGATTTTGTCCTCCTTAATTTATAAAGTCATCTTGTCTATCTGCTACTCTTTCAGGGTTATTCCTTTCCTCTCCTAGTGGTAAGTAACTACTCCCTCCATCTGACTTTCATTTCCTCCAAAGTAGATACTATTTAGCACTTCCCTAGTAGCTACACAACCTCATTTTACAGCTCCATTCTGCAACTGCAATCAACAGCTGTTAAAAAATACACTTTGGAGACCTTGATGTTTGATTTGAAATGCTTTCAGCAACAGAAGAGTAGCATAAAGTTGTTTGTGAGTTTATTCAAGCTCAACGTACCACTGGGTGTTGCATAGAGGAAAGTTCCCTTCTCACTGATTAGGTTTTACAGCCCCTCTTGGTTTTTAAGAGGAGCCTTGAAAAAGGAAGCCTTATTGGTCCATCTACAGCTTTTGCAAGATTATTGAAGGTTTTATATGCAGGTTTAATATGTTTGACATTGCATTGCATGTATAGAAGCACTTAGCACAGCAAAACAGCAGGACTGCTGATTCAGTGGGATGGGAAAGATGGGACAGGGTCCATCCCCTGGGGACATGACCCACCTGAGGAGTTCTGAAGTTATTTATAGAAGCTGGTCAGGTAAAAGTTGAGCTAAAACTACTAAGGACTTGTTTAAGAATTCCAGAAATAAACCTACTGGGTCAAAGCTGAACCAACCTGAGGCTGCAGCTTGTCCTTCTGCCAGTTCCTGTGATTCACGGCACAACCCAGTGTCTGCAAGGATCAAGGCTTCACTTGGCAAAGTTACTAAGCACATACTTGGCTTCAGACTGATTCAGTGATGAACTAGCTCAGTGAGACTCTTCTTACAGAAATGAGGCGTTTGCTATTTCAGACTGCCGGAAGCAACCCATCAAATTGTTTCATCAAGGACTAAAGCAACAAGCAGAAAGGTGGCCTCCAAAACTCGATACCAAACACCTCCTTCAATCTGCCTTTATTAGAGTTTCCCATTTTATTTGGAAGGAGAAGCCAACAAGTTTTATTCTTGTTGCCCTGTGGTGAATGATTCCTTTTACCTGTGGTAGAAACACAATGTGCTCGTGTATAGGTGCACTGTATCGAACTGTGTTTTTATAGGAGGCAAGGATTAACCAGAGAGTGAGCACAGGCAGGGGCAGCAATGCACACCATCAGGAACATTATGTGTCTTTGTTAAGAGATTGGAGGCTTGATGACAGTCTCATTCTGGAAGACAGAATCAGCAGAAACCACCCAGCTCATTTCAGAACTCAGAGCCATGCAAAGCCATAAACCAAAGAGGTTCCTCTTCACGGAGCTCAACCACAGCTTCCTTCTCACAGCCGCAGCAACATTTGATGCTGAACTTCACACTGAATGTTGAAAAGGCCCTTTTCATTTCCTGTTAAGAGAGGTGTAAGTCAAAGCTATCAAAGGAAAACAAACAGCCCTGTGATCCTTCTCCAAGTCCTGAATTTAAGTGACCCTGCACTTGATCGCTTTTATCAGCAGTCCCAGGGAAATTGCACCCTTCCAAATGTGAGGAGCCTTCACAGCCACTCCAGGCAGCGGTGGACTTCCAGAGGATCCCACAGACCACTAGAAAAAGAGCTATGAATAGTAAGTACTTCAGAAGCAGAACAAAACCCGTGGTTGCACCATTCCTCTTTTTATTTGTTCTTTCCTTTCCAATGAGCTGTCAACAGAGCATGAAAAGAAACATTGGTCTTTTCATTGATATTCTTTGCATTTGTGGGAAAAAAACAACCCAAACCATTCTGAAACTCATGAATGTTTACTCAGAACTTAAGTGTGCTTGTTCAGAAAGCCATGGTATTTCATGGTATAGCACGAAATGCGATTTCCCACTGCCTTCCACAAACATAACCAGGAAGCATGTGTCACAGGTATAACTCATCACCTGCCTGGGCACCAATTCCCTGTGGATATCACCGACACCTACCACTGAAGCTGCTTTTAAGTACCCATTGATACCCAAAGCTATGAATAGAGCAATCACAGCTGGCGACTAGACGAGACGCGATTGGTCAACCCGCTCTCACTGCGCCCTCCCATTGGCTGGCAGAGGACCGGACGGGACCTTCCTGTTCCCACGACGGAAGGGGAGAAGAGCTCCAGGCTGCGCGAGGGGCGCATGCGCTCGTGTGTCGCGGTGTGTGCGCGGAGGGGCAGGTTGGTATGGGGGTGCCTGCCGGGGGGCGGTGTGAGGGGATGGGGTCCGCTCCCCTCTGTTATAAGGGGTTGTTACGAGCGTGATTGTGCTGTCTGACCCCCCCAGGGGCCTTCCGACCTCCTTCTGCCAGTGCCTCTGTGCCTGTGATAGTGTTTCTGGTGTGCGAGCGGCGCTTGACCTCCGCTGGCAGCTGGAATGCATCTGTTTGGGGTTGTTTAGAGCTGTGTGTCACTGTATTAGCACCATAATGGAGTGTGTTGGTTATGGGTGTATTTAGAGGTAAAAGTAGCCCTGTTCTCTCACCTGAACGCCTTTTGGGGGTTGGCTTTGACTCTGCATTGCACTCTTCCTATTCTCAACCTATTTCTTAATGCTCTTTGCAGGCAGTTGACTAGGACACAGGCTTCCCAGTGATGACCAGCCCGTAGCTGAATTGTGGTTGTGCTGCTAGGGGACTTCAACGTGTTGCTGGTGGGTCAAGGCATGTTGTGAGTCAAGCTGTGCCTCCTTAATTACACTGCTCCCTTTAATAATGATGGTATTATAGTGAAGGCAGGGATGGGGAGCCATCCAGTGGGGACTCAAGGTTTGGGGGGGTGATGCTCACCCTCTGGTAAAGCAGAGGGATGAAGGTCTGGTGGCTTGGGGGTTGACCCACATATGGGCTGGTGAATCCCGTGGAGCATGGCATGTTTTGGGATGGGAAGAAAGAAAAACAGCTCTGAAATCAGGGTGATGAGCGCTGACTGTTATCTTCATGAGTGCATTGAGACGGGTAGAGGTGAGGGCCAGGCTCCACCAAGGTGGGGACCCATAGTTGGTGCTGTGACAGCCATCATTCTGCTCCAGAGTGAACAGTCAAGGGGACACTGACCCAGCTTGGCTATGGCAGTGTCACAGTGGCGGGCAGAGGCTTCAGTGTCCATCTCTGAGCTCAGCTGGGGTTGCTGGTGCATGCTGGGTGTGGTGACGGATGTGGGAGGGAGGCCCCAGGGAGGGCTGAGCTGCTTCCCCTGCCTGTGCTTCCGTATGCCCGGCGGAACCCGGGCCTGCCCCCAACTGGGGGGATCTCGGGGGGAGCCCAGGGATGGGGCGGCTCTTCCACACTGTCCATAGGGAAGCTGGTGGGTGCCTCTGTCCTCCCCTCACCACCTGGGGCTGCTCCATTAGGAGCTGTTCCCAGATGGGGAAGCTGTAAGGGTGGATCGGCATCGCCATTCAGCGTGGATCCTGTTAGGCTGCGGAGGGAACATGTTGTATCCTAACTCTCCTTTCCCACCTAGGTGATCCCTGAAGATCCTCCTTGCTGAACTCAAGCGCTGATGTATCCCCCTTCCTTGCTCCGGTGTCCATCTCCTGCATCCCAGGTAGGCACACCCTAAACTTCCCCCCCACCACCATACACTATCCTTGAATAGCAAAAGCTTTTCACTATTACTAAGCAACGGCTTGCTTGGGCTTCAGCCAAGCCCTCTTCTGTTTGCCTCAGCTGGTCAACCCATGGTGATCCCACTTCTCCCTCCACAGGATCCTTTCCCCACCGTCGGGAATGAGGCTGTCTCCTGCCCGTTGGCTCTCAGCCTCGCTCACCACGGGTATGCATCTGGTAAAGAGCAGGAGGGTTTGAGCTGCCTCTTCCTGGCAACTATTGGGGAGGTGGGTGCAGAGAAACCCTGCTGGGGGTGGTTTTGGGGCTGGGATAAACCCCACTGAGCTCTGGGGGCTGAGGCCTGCTGCAGGCTGGTTCCTGCTCTCCTGATTTCTTCCTTTATCCCTTCTTCTTCCTGCTGGCAGGAGAGGGTTCAGGCTGGCGATCGGCAGCTGAGCAGCGCGGTGCCCGTTATGGCTGGTGAGTGCTGGGGAGTGAGCACTCTGAGTCTGTCCCCTCCCCACCAAAACATGCGGGTGCCCACATGGGTGCACCCACGTGTCATGGTAGCAGATGTTTTAGGGGCTGGGGTGGTTTTGGGGGGTTGGGGTGAGATCCCATCTGGATCTTCCTGTCTGGAGGTGTCCTGCTGAAGCCACTGGAAGCCCCCCCCTAAAACCTCCCTATGGTCTCCCTGGCTCTGCAGGTTGGTTTAAGCGGCTCCTGCACAAGCCCAAGCCGAGGTCAGTGGAGAACAGCCTCAACACCAGCCGTTCTGCTTCCTCATCACCTTCCTCATCCTCTGCTGAGAGCTGCAGCTCTTCTCCCAGCACGAGCCTGACCCGGTCCACCCGCCCATCACCCATGTTGATGTCGGACATCACCGCCTCAGGCAGCGCCCGCTGGGCTAAGACCTACGATGTTTGCATCTGCCACAGCGAGGTGGACCTGGAGGTGGTGGAGGAGCTGGTGTCCTACCTGGAGGGTCAACCTGAAAGCTTCCGCTGCTTCCTCCAGCTGCGGGATGCAGCGCCAGGCGGCGCGGTGGTGACGGAGCTGTGTGATGCTGTGCAGAACAGCCACTGCTGGGTCATGCTCATCACCCCCGGCTTCCTGCAGGATCCGTGGTGCAAGTACCAGATGCACCAGGCGCTGGCGGAAGCCCCAATGGCCAACGGGCGCACTATCCCTGTGCTGAAGGACGTGGATCGGAAGGATTATCCCAAGGAGCTGCGAAACCTCTACTACATCTACATGAAGGAGAACAGCTTCAGGCAGATCAGGGACACCGTTGTGCGCTGTGAGTACATCACTCTGAGGGTGTAAAGACCATGTCAGTTTACTCACTTTAAGCTTAACTAGTTGCTTATGGGGCTTATCTTCTGCCTCTGCAGATCTCCAGGACCTGTGCCGGAGCTCCGTGAGCACAACAGAGTAGTGCACAATGGATCTGGATATAGTCGCATCCCAAGGGACCTTGGAGCAGACCTGGGAACTGAACGTGGACACTCGCCTACATCCCTGGAGGACAGATGCCCACGTCTGTGTGGCCAAACCCCCCTCAGAGGGGAGAGGGACATCCTGGTCCCTACTGCTTATTGTGCAAACACTAAGCTCTGATGTTCAGAGGCTCCGGGAGAGGGGGGGTGTCTTCAAGGCTCCTGATGGGGCTCAGACCCTCAGTAAACTGACACAGCGCCTGCCCGGCCTTTGCACGCGTTCTCTGGGACAATATAAATGCAGAAGTTTGACATTTTGAGTTAGTTTTAATGTTCTTTTCACCTCCCTTCTTGTGGGTTTCAGTGTAGGGGGGTTAAGCTTAGACCCCCCCCTTGAGGAAGGTCTACCCCCAAGCCGCCAGGGGGCAGGCTGTACTCGCGGCTCCGAGGCTCGCTCCTTTGTGCGAGCCGGCGCAGGCGCAGTGCGGCGGTGTGCGCCATGGCGGAGGCCCCGCCGGTGAAGAGGAAGCGGGAGGAGGCGGAGGATGGGGATGGCGATGGCGGTGCCGCCGACCCGTTCCCGCTGGCGGAGCTGCGGCTGCGGCGTGTGCTGCGGGAGTCGGCGCGGGACAAGGCCGTGTTCCTGCACGGGGAGGTACCGCGGGGCGCCGGGCCTGGGGGGGGGTATGGACCGGGTACCGCACCGCTGTTAACCGCGCTGAGCGGTGGCCCCGCCTCCCGCCGCGGCACGTCAAGGCACGCCACGCCCCCCACGGCGGGGCCACGCCCCCCACGGCGGGGCCACGCCCCCACCCGGAGCGCATGGCGCGCCGATCCAGCGTGGCGGAAGGCGCTGTTGTTCCCCGCCGTTATCCCCACGTTGTCCCCTCCGTTGTCCCCATTTACCCGCTTTTCCAGCCCGGTGGTGCCCCAAGCCGGGCAGGATGGGGGGTGGCAGGATGCGACCGCTTCCTGCGCTGGAAGGCTTAATGCAAAAGCTCTGGGTACGTTTGGATTAGTACCGGTGTTGCTTCTGGCCCCGAGAGCAGGTTTGTCGTGCTTGGCAGTGAAGCGGCATCGATCTGCAAGCATCATGCTAGCTCTGCGATGTGTATATGATAGGCATATCAGTCCCTATAAAAGGTAAAGGGTGCCATAAAAGAGAAATCAATTGGATCCCAGACTGGTTTGGGTTAGAAGGGGCCTTAAAGCTCATCCAGTTCCAACCCCCTGCCGTGGGCAGGGACACAAGCTGCAGTGTTACAGTCCCCCAGCCCCTTGCCTGTGTTCTCATCCTGACCCTCTGGCAGCCGCATGTTGACCTGAGAGTATCTGAGGTGAAATCAGTGATGTGGGTCAGTGGGAATGTGGCTGCGGGTGCTGGGAGCATCCGGGGAGGTGCAGATGGGCTGAGACACTGCCCGCATCCTGTGCTCCCCAACAGAAACCTCCCTCATGGGCAGCAGATTCCTGCTGTGCCTCAAGCCACACGTGCCTTTATTTTTGGATGGTTGGCTGGTCCAGGAGGGGGTTTGTGTACAAGAAGTGAGGGACTGCAGTGTGTCTGCTTTGGAGCCTCAGGTCCTGGCCTCAAACTGGATCCATGTCACCAGCAGCTATATTGGTTCTTATTCCAGGTGACCGGCCCCTCTGGAGAGGGTACAGATGCTTTAGTCATCCTGGAAAAGACTCCTTTCCAGGAGGAGAAGCTGTTGGACCTGCTGAAGAAGCACACGAAGCTGGAGCTGCGGATGCACAATGATATTTACAAGACGTACCACCTCTACCCTCCTCCAGAGCTGAGCGGTGAGCACGGGGGTCCCAGGAGGGTGACATGGCTGTGATGCTGCTCCATGTGTTCCTACCTGCTCTGGTTGTGGTTTGGCAACAGCAGAGCTGGGGGAGCAGTAGAGCATTGCTGCTTTGAAGGCAACATCTTAATTGAGGTTTTGGGTGCTACCTCACTTCACCTCCTTTTCCTCATGCTCACCAAGCTATAAAGTTGCTGGACACTAAACAGATATCATTTGATTCCTTGCCCGTGCCTTGATTTAAAGGTCAAGGGCTTGTGGGTCTGGAAGCTTTCCTTGTGTGTCTGTCTTCAGTGATGTTGGTTAATCTGGTATAAGGCACTGTCTCTCCCCATCATGTTTACTTTGATAACACTCTGCAGAGCACATCTTGGCAGGTTGGGCACTTCAATTTAAGGCTGGGATGTGCTTAAATTCCAAAGGTGCAGCGATTAATTACACATGAATGCTTCCATAAGCACAGTGACAACCAGACAGGCTTAACAGAGTCAAAATTCATCAGAGTGATAGCTTAAATTAGAAGTTATTGCAGTCCTGAATTGAATTCTTTAGATGTTTGATGTGCCTTCCCAAATACACCTGTATTTTAATGCTATTTCCATGGAGTAGGAGGAATCACTGTCTGTCTTTGGGAGCTTGTGAGTTGTGCTAAGCTCCTCTTGCCCTGTGAAGGACTTGAAATCAGAGGTTTTGGTGTTACAACGACACATTCCAAAGGCAGGAGAAGATGGTAAAGCTGTGCACAGCCTCCCTCCTGCTTGGGTGTCTGCTGCAGTGATTTCCACGAGGTGGCATTGCAAGACTAAAGTCCCCTGGGCCTCTCTCCAGCTGCAGCCCTGGCAGCTGGGCTGGCATCTGACTTCTTGTAGCACTTTGAGCAGTGCTCTTTAACTCCAGTAGTCCCCTGATTCAATCTTACTTTATTTAAGGTTTATGCTGGTGTGAAACCCCTCGCTAGGGTGAAAACGCTGTTAAATGTCTCCTCTGTCAGTGCCATTCCTGGTCCTGCTTTATCTGAGAGGCTGGGGCAAATCCAGGTGAATCTGAGTCTATTCACATCCCATTTCTGGGTCTTTGTTAAACTGAAATCTCATTCAGGTTATTTGGTGTGCCCTCTGTGCTGTGGCTGCCCAGTGTTTGTGTCGTGTATAGCTGGACCAAACCTGCTGTGCTTCTGGATGTGTCCCTGTGCCATTCCTTCTGTTTGAATAGGGAAAAAAGCCTCTGGCTTCCTTCTGCTAAAGCTTATCTCTTTAATTACTCTTCCATTGCCTTTAAAAGGTAGGGTTTTGCAGATACATTCCCCAGTGGTTCATCTTTCCTCCTCACCCCTCCTTGTGGTTGCTCTGGATGTTGAGCAGCCCCAAGCAGGGGACCAGGATGGGGCTGCAGATGCTGGTGCTGCTCTCCAGGCTCCCCAGCTCCCTGCTATAAGTGGGGAAGCTTCTTCCTTAAAGCAGTTCAGTGCTCAATAGCTGTCTTTGTGGGCACGTTGCTTAAGCTGCTGGCAGGCAGCTGGGCTGGCACCGGCGGAAACGGTTGTGTGTGTCAGGAGGGGAAGGAAATCGCCCTTTTGAGTTGAGTCACGGCCCAAGAAGGGAGTTGACGTGAGGAATGCAACTCATAAACCTAAAACAGGAAAAGTTTCCTGTAAGGCTGCAGACGGCGTCAAGGCTTGTGAGGAATCCCGTGATCGTGCTGAGGTGCAGCGAACCCTTGCATGGAGTCTCTCACAGCCTTTTGGTCCCAGGGTTGGAGAGAGAAAGGGTTTTCTCTCCTGTGACTTAGCGCGATGCAGTAAAGGCCAAGTGGTTCATGGCATGAAGCAGTTCCTCTGAAAAGCCCCGGGTTATGGTGTCACACAGTTCCCCCTGGGGATTTCACACCCCAGATGGGTAGACCCCTCTTCTGCTCAGTCTCTTGCTTTCTAGAGGTAAGATAAACCATATGAGGAAATCACTGCCTCAAGTGACTCATGGCACTGGGTGTGAGGAGTCACCTCCAGCCCCTCTGCTTTTAAGACGTGTGTTTCTCAATGCCTCCTTTGTTGTCCCAAGTCCTTGGGCAGCTGTTCTTTGAGCTGGAGTTTCTTGATAGCTGAAGGTGAAGGTTTTCTTCACCCTCTCCCATGGAAGTGCTGCTGTTCCCTCTGCAGAGTCAAGCTAACACAGGCCCGATGTGATGAAAGCTTGTTTCGTCTTGGTGGTCCATTGCGAGTCTGGGCCAGTCGCTTTGTTTGCATGGTGAAAGCAAAGGAAGGGAGGCCAAAAGCAGCACATTACCTCAGCAAGCACCTCCCCTCTGTCCTGGGAAGAGGAATTTCACTCTGCTGCTGCTTAAAGATGAGGTTTTTAGGGCTGGGAGCACACAGGTGTGGAGATGCCGGCCAGAGAAGGGACCTCAGCTGTGTCTCTGGTTTAAGTGGCCCCTGGGAGAGATGTGTCAAGGCTAAAATGGGGGAATAAAAGACATCTGTAAAGCAGATTGGTAATGGTCAGAGCTCATCGGAACGGCAGCAAGCTACCTGAATAAAGAGAAGGAAATGTGAGTGTGTTTGCAAGGAGGAGCAGTGTCAGAGCTAATACTAACTGCTCTGCTACTGGCAAAGGCAGGCGTGTGTAGCTTACTTGAAGGCCAGTTGCTGGATGTTGCCTAGGTTTAAGAGGCAGCTTATTCCTAGAAGTGTGAGAGATGGTGAAGGAAACGCAGCTCTGGGACTCTCCCTTTCAGTGAGAGCAAGGGCTGCTTTCATAGAGGGGAAAGATGCTGTTGTGAAAGGCTTGGTTGCAGAAGTCAGATGGTTTAATCCACGTGTTCCCCAGTAACATCCAGCTCCTGGTGGTGCTCACACCCATTCAGCAAGAAAATCTTGCTGTTTCCAATGAAAAGCAGCCTCCTCTTACCTGGTTGCTGAGGGATGGTGTGTTTTACAGCCCCAAAGCTGTGCCAGTATAATTTAAGGGCTCTTATCAATCCTTGAAGGAGTCTTTACTCGCTGGGCATAGCTCATCCCTGTGTTGCAGGCTGGAGCTGATAAAACCATCTCAAAATGAGCACAACAGGAGATGCTCCATCTCTCTGGCACGGGGCTGGGAGAAATGGGAGAGCATGGAAGGAAGGTATTCAGTCATGCAGGAAGTGATGCATATCCCTGCTTTCCCTGGTCTGGTTTCAGGCAGCGTGGAGCTGGAGAGACTTGCAGGAGCTGCCGAAGGGAGGTTGGTTGTGTCCCAGTGGTTCCATGCTCTGCCTGCCTGCGGGGCTTACCCAGCAAAGACAGCTCCTTATGGAAGTGTAGATGCTGCAGCAGTGGGATGTGTGGGGTGGGTTGATGGGGGACGGCCATGCTTTGCTCTGGGGTCTGGGGCTTGGTAACATGCAGCTAGACATCCTCCCCACACACCCAAATCCCCTTTGGAAGGGAACCAGGGGCCAACCAGCCTTTGCCAGATGTCTCCAGCGGCTTGGCTTGCCCTGGCATGCACTGGCCTCTTGCAAGCTTTATCCTT